TATTACACCGCCCCTATTCTTGAATTCTTACATTGACTCAATATAATTGTCGTGCATGGACCTTTATATTTCTTTACTAAGCATGATTGTATTGATAAATTCCTGCTTATTTGCAACCCATTCTGCTTTAATCTATCTTATTCATGCTTTTTTCATGATCTTAATCTTTTATGAAAAACTCCAAAAATGAATTGTTAAAAAATCGTCTGTGCCGCTAGAACATATAAAAAATGACACCCATTTCAAAATTACAACAATTTTAGAATAAGAGAACATTTTTATGTTGTTTTTTTTCAACAAAATCTGTGATAACGAATTCAATAACTAATCTGAACACTGAGTTATGTACGACAAAAAATATTTTCTTTAATTCTAACAAAATGTTTAGAAATGCTTTAAGTTTATTTCGAATAGACTTTTCGGGTTTCTTTTGTAATGAAATAACTGTATATTCAGGTGGGAGTGGAGGTCTAGGGGGTGCAGGAGGTCCTGGAGGTCCTGGAGGTCCTGTACCTCCCTCCAGAGGTCGAGGCCGAGGTGGTCCAATGACGAGAGAAGAACTTCAGAAGCTTCGAGAGGACGAGTTGGCCTCCCAGCACAACGGCAAGGGAAGAGCAAACACTCGTCTTTTCAATTTATTTATTATAGAAACAAAGGAATTAAGTTTTTGTCACGAGCTCAAATTTTCGAATCTATATATCTTTGTAACCTGATGATGTACACCTTTGATATTTCAAACTAAGAATATTTGATCTAACATGATTTATACTTTGAAATATCTAAGGTCTAACGACATTGGGTTTAGAAGATATAGGGATTACAATATCAGAGTTTGTGGCAAAGACTCAATTCCTTTATACCAACAAACTGACTACTCACTAAACAGCTTTAAATCCGAATTTTTGATTCCGTATATCTTTGCAACCTCATGTAAAAGAGCTTTGATATTTAAATTATGAATTCTGCTTGATCAAATAAGTTTGAAATAAGTAGATGGTTTGAAGTATCAAATGTTCACACATCAGGTTGCGAGATTTAGAGTTATAAATTAGATTTTGAAGCAAATAATCAATCATTTTGTTTAAATTGATTTAAATGGGAACCAAAACGGAAAAAGGATAAAACTTAAACTATTTTAAAGATCAGATCTAAAGTTTTCTCAAGAGATTGACAACACATATTTGATGTTTGTTTCAACCATGTTTCAACCATGTTTCAACCATGTTTCAACCATGTTTCAA